ATGACGTACGTAGTTTGAGTCAGAATACATATATGTTTACTAATTAAAAAATATTTACTGAACACCCACAATGTTCTTAGAATTTAGACCTATTTGAGATACTGTGGGAGATTCAGAGAGGAATAAGATATGGACTTAAAAAGTCTAGAACAGGGGTTGACAAACTTTTTCTGTAAAAAGCCAGACAGTAAATATTTTAGGCTTCGTGGGCCATGCAATCTCAACTCTGTCACTGTAGCATGGAAGCAACCATAGACAATACATAAATGAATGGGTGTGGCTGTCTTCCAAAAACACTTTACTTATAAAAACTGGTGGTTGGCCAGTTATAGTCCGCAGGCCACAGTTTGCTGACCTCTGGTTTAGAACCACTGGTAGAATGTACTCAAATAGCTAAAACATACTCAACCTAACTGTTCAGGCTTTTATTATTTCCTGCAAGAATAGTTATAAAAGTTCCCTTCTCTTGTCTGTTTCACCAACTCTACTCCCCTAAATACTCCACTCGACACAGCTGCCAGAGTGATCTTATGTTTTAACACTATGCCACTGCTATTCTTAAAACTCTTCAATGGCTTAGCACTACCCAAAAAAAAGTCCATAATTCTTAGCACAGTATAAAAGGCTCTTTGTGCTCCATCTCCTGCTTTAGTCTCCTGACTTAGCCCTCACAATCTCTCTCTCTACCTCCCCTCCCCTAGCTTTTATGCTGCAGCAATACTGAATTACCCTAACATACCTATATTGTGTCTCTGCTCCTTTGCATATGTTGTTCCTTCTACCTAAAAGGCCCTATCCCAGCAAGAGACACATCCATCCAGAAGGCTCCTCTCACCCCAAGCTGATCACATCTGACGCCTTTAACTTCCTTACCTTGCATGTACTTTCTACTACTGCATGTGGAGGATTAGATTATGAGCTGCTCAAAGGTAGGCAATTTACTTCTTTGTAGTTGTAGCGTTAACCTCTAACATAGTGTCTGGCATATAGTAGGTGCTGAATAAATCTATTTTGAACCAAAGACAACCAAAGGTACTATAAATGATATATTACTATTTCAAGAAGGAAGACTATACATCATTCTTGAAAGAGAATCAGAAAGAGTTTGAGGACAGTGGTGGCATATGAACCGGGTATTGAAAAGATAAGTAAACAGAGAGGGTAAAGGCTCCCAATGAAAAAATAAAAAAGCAGAGAAGTAGAAAGATAAATTAATGTCTGATGACCAGCACGTTTTTCAGTTTGGCTAAAGTGTATGGAGAACAACAGGGAACACATCTGGAAAGGTCGGTTTAGGGTCAGCTCTAGAGGACCTTAAAGACATAGCTAAGAAGTCTACAGACAAAGGTGTCACTGAAAGTTTCCGAAAGGTAGAATCGTAGGAGACAGGAAGATTAATCAAACAGGTGGGGAGTGGCAATGAGAACTGAAAGATACTGCCGAGTTAAAACTGACAAAATTTGGCAAATGACTGGATGTAGGACACAGCAGAATGACAGGAATCAAAGATAATCCAGAAGTTTTAAGCCTGGGAAATTGGGGTAAAAGCTAAATAGGAGCGAGAAGAAAAGCAGTGAAAAAAGATAGCAAGTTTGGTTTTGGAATGTTAAATGAGACCTGAGAAAACATCCAGATAGAGATATTAAGTATAAATTGAAAGTGGGAAACATACTTTCAAGAGATAAGACATAAATCTGGGAGTCATCTCCCTACAGATGCTGACTAAAACCTCAAGAGAAGGGATGGTAGAGGGTCAAATGTGCTTGATCAAACTTTATCCAAGTGAAAGTATCCTGGCATGTATTTCTACCACAGTATCTACATTACCGTACTTATTTACAAACATGTCCATGTCCCTGATTCTGAATCCCTTCAAGGAAGAGGTATGCTTTATGACCTTTGTGTCTTCAGCTTAATAACTCGAAAAAAGCAGGTGTTCAGTATATTTGCTGAATGAAGCAGCCCCCATAATTCTAGCATGTAGAAAATCTAACTTCCTATGACGTGTTATAATTCAACATAGCACAACAATTAAAAAAATTCTTAAAAATGTTCATCTTCAAATGTATATCTGTATCAGATGGTAACAATTTAAGGTAGATGGGTCAGTGGTTACCAGAGGGCAGATGCTATCCTCATCTTTTTTCCTAATTGCTATTCCTTTTACCATGTCTCTTCTCCATCAAAAGTCAGCATTACCCTAGCTTTGGTATGTTTGAACACTGGCACAGTATTTATAGGGCTGCAGACTCCTAATCTGTTAGCTGACTTTACTGACCTTTATGTGTCTGTTCATAGCAGTGGATTGTGCTGCTCGCACCAGACCCTCCAGCTCAGCACCGCTGAAATTCTTAGTTTCTACAGCCAGTTCCTTAATGTCTACGTCAGCAGAGAGTAACTGATGGCCTCTCATCCTTGCTGTGTGGATGTGAAGGATCTGTAGTCGACCTTTCTCATCTGGTAAGCCTGATAAAATTGAAAATAGAGATTAATTTAATCCAATACTTGTCTTACAGGTATTCAGTATGTAAACATCTGCTTCTCATGATATACAACTTTTCTAATAAATATTAAAACCTTAAGTCATATGACTTTGCTCCTGCTAATGAATTCTAAATACACCCTGACCCCTGCCCCGATCAGTGATAGGTCTGCTTTACCTATTTCCATTTTAACTTCCAGTCTTCCAGGTCGAAGGAGAGCCTCATCTATCAGATCTGGTCTGTTGGTCATTCCTGAGCATAGATGTTAAAACAACATACAAACGATCAGAGTTCAAAAATAAGGTAAAATGTTGCTCCAATATATATAAAATAGTACTTTACTTACAAGCTAAGAGGATATTTTATAAAAATCAAATAGAAAACCAAATTATTTCATATTAAAATATTATTTGTTCTTAGTGGCAGTTACCAAATAATAATGGAGATGTAAAATACAGCATAGAAAATATAGACAATAATATTGTAATAACTATGCATGGTGTCGGGTGAGTACTAGACTTATCAAGGGGATAAATTCATAAGTTGTATAAATGTCTAAGCACTATGTTGTGCACCTAAAACTAATACTGAATGTAAACTGTAATTGAAAAATTGAAAAAAAAAATTTTAAATATATCATTTGTTCTTGATCTGTTTTAATGAAAATACCGAGACCTTGTTTTAGTATTTCACTACTGTACAAGCCAATGAAACATAAATGCAATAAAAGCTTCAAATATTTAAAAAGAAAACTTGAGATTCAGAGAGGATAAGTAACCTATCCAAGTGGAGGAGGGGCAATGTGAACATAAACTCCAAAGGCCCTTCCTTTTTTTGTAGGCTAGTGGTTATCAACCTTCATAAACAGCAAACTTTCCCCCAAAAAAGTTATTTTAAAAAGAACCTTAGCACATAAAACAGTTAAAAGAAATTATAATAGGGATGCATGATCTGAAGCCATGTCCCTCACAGACCCTGAAGAACCTCTGAGGACTCTTGGATGTCTACAGGACCCAGTTTGAAAACCACTGCATTACACTGTGCTGCCTTTTTAATCTGTGGATAAGCTATATGCTCAAACCCATGAGTCACTAAAACCCATCTTTCATTTGTTCTATTAAGGCCAGATATTCAAATAGGCAAATTCTTCAATATCACTTGATTTTAATTTAAAAACACTGGCAAAGTAGTATAATTACAACCTACACCAATCTTAATTCAGAACCTATGTGTCTAATGTTTTTGAAATCACAGTACTTTTTTTTTTTTTAAAGCAAACACACCAATGACTAAAATGTTGTTCAGCTGCTCTACCCCATCAATTTTGGACAGCAACTGGTTGACGACAGTGTCATGAACTCCCGTGCTACCAGCCATGCTCCCTCTCTGCTTGCAGATGGCATCGATCTCATCAAAGATGATGATGTGCAAACCACTGTTAGCACCAAGCTAGTAAAGGAAGGAATTATAGAAAGGTCATTATTTGAATATATTATTAAACAAACTAATCAAAGAAGCAAAACAAACCTTTCCATAGATTGACTTCGCTTCATTTTGACTAAATATAGCAAGTATAATCATAGTTACTGCCCTCTCAAAGGTGATAAAACTGCATTCTCAGAATTCTGCAAACTGAAAAGGCATTCCAGAACCTCATATTTGACAGCCATAAAACAAAAATACACATTATATACTGATGAAAGTGAAGAGTCCATCAAATAACTGTTCATTTACACATTCTTTATCTCACCGTGTGAAAGAATTCTTATACTTACCTGACATATGCATTTTTATGTCAGTGAACAGCAACTCCTTCCCATTTTCCCTGAGCTTTGGTGAGAGGACTGTCCCAGAAACAGTAGGTTTAATGTTCATTTGTTTGTCATATTATATAGCTAAATGGTAACCACCCTGAGGTCCAATGAGAATTGGTGAAATGGAGGAAGGAAGTAAAGTTATATCACATGAAAATACTATTTTTCTTATCAATAAAGTTAGAAAACAGTTTGTAAAAAGAACGCAGTCAAGGGGGTGCTGTTTCTTGTTAGTGATTTCTGTTTTAGTTTATTAGATGTAGAGTCATCATTAAAATAAATTAGTTTATATATTTTAAAGTTTTCATAGATGCAAACACTTTTAAATGCTAATAATTCCTTAGGTTATGTCAACATGGACCTTCTGACAATTTATATTTAAGCAATTAAGTCTCTTATTAGGAACCAAAGAGGGGAAGTGTACTCTGAAATTTTCTTTAAAAAAAATTAGGGACTAACATAACAGGTGAGAATGAACATAACCTAAATATGACAACATATGGATAATATAAATGATGAGCATAATGAGATTCAGGATTAGATATGGTTGGTATTCATTAAATCTCTGGCAAGGATATAATCTTTTTCGAAAAAACGTTTGTTTTTTTTTTTTTTTAAGTTTATTATAAAAGTATTAGAAG